AATCCTCACCAACAGTTATTGTTTGTTGATTGGTTGGTGATAGCCATTGTGACAGGTGTGAGGTGGTACCTCGTTGTCCTTTTGATTTGCATCTCTAGGATAATTAGGGACTTTGAGTATTTTTCATATGTCTCTTACTTAGCCTTCTGTATGTCCACTTTGAAGAAGTGTCTATTTAGATCCTTTGTCCATTTTTTAATTGTATTATTTATCTTCCTTTTGTTAAGTTGTATGAGTTCCTTATATATTTTGGAGATTAACCTCTTATCAGATGTATCATTGACAAGTATGTTCTCCTATGCAGGGGGATCTCTGGTTATTTTGTTGATGTTTTCTTTTGCTGTACAGAAGCTCCTTATGTTGATGTATTTTTGAATTGACTAAACAAAATGAATATGTTGAGGCATATTTTTTCAGAATCAATTATTATTACTAAAGGCCTGGTGTACGAAATTTATGCACAGTGTCGGGGGGTAGGGTGGTCCCTCAGCCAAGCCTGTGCCCTCTCCAATCTGGGACCTCTAGAGAGATGTCCCACTGCCCATTTAGACATCCCTCTCTCAATCCAGGACTGCTGGCTCCCAACTGCTCACCTGCCTACTTTTCTGATTGCCCCTAATCACTTCTGACTGCTAGTCTGATCACCCCCTAACCACTCCCCTGCCAGCCTGATTGATGTCTACCTGCTTTCCTGCCAGCCTGTTTGCCCCAGCTTCTGCCCTTTGCCGGCCTGATCACCCCAACTGCCCTCCCCTGCAGGCTTGATTACCCCAACTGCCCTTCCTTGCAGGCTTGGTCCCTCCCAGCTGCCTTCCCCTGCTGGCCATCTTGTGTCCACATGGGGGCAGGATCTTTGACCACTTGGGAGCAGCTATCATGATCTTGTGTGCTGGAGTGATGGTCAATCTGTATATTACTATTTTATTAGATAGGATAGAGGCCTGGTGCATGGGTGGGGGCTATCTGGTTTGCCCTGATGGGTGTCCTGGATTAGGGTAGAGGTTTCCTTGTGGCATGGGGTGGCCTAAGCGAGGGGCCTGTGGTGGTTTGCAGTCCAGCCATGCCACTCAGCGACCCAAGCAGTGGCCCTGGTATCTGGGATATATTTATCTTCTGCAATTGAAACTTTGTAGGCTGGAGCAAAGCCAAGCCTTCTGCTCGCTCTGTGGCAGCAGCCATTTCTGTTGGGGTTTATTCACCTTCTTTAATTGAAACTTTGTTGCCTTGAGTGGAGGCCTAGGCGGCCAGGGTGTGTGGAAGGCTTGGCTTCCTCCATTGCCTGGGAAACCCAAGCCTCCCTCCTGCTCTCTGTGGTGGCAGCCATCTTGGTTGGGGTTCCTTTAAGTCTTGGCTCAAATGAACACTGTACTATTCAGCCTATTGAATGACACCCCATCCTCCCCTTAACTCTGCTTATTTTTCCCCCACCAAAGCATTTTTCATCATCTAACATAAAATGTTATCCATATATTTGTTTATTGTATATATATATATATATATATGTTTATTGTCTATCTCCCTTCTAAATAACAGGAGATTGGGTCTGCTTTCTTTCTTTAAAAAAATATTTTTTTATTGATTTCAGAGAGGAAGGGAGGGGGAGCTAGAAACAGAAACATCAATAATGAGAGAGAATCATTGATTGGCTGACACCTACATGCCTCATTTGGGATCAAGCCCACAACTCGGGCATGTGCTCTTGATAGTATTCAAACTGGGGACTCTTCAGTCCACAGGTCGATGCTCTACCCACTAAGACAAATGGACTAGGGTGGGTCTGCTTTCTTTAATTGACAGTGTCCTAGGACCTGGTACTTGGTGAAAGCTCAATTAGTATTTGTGGAATAAATGCAAAAAGATTGGGCTTGTATTGCATGTCACCACTGAGAACAAAATAATGGCAAAAACAATTGCACTAGAGAAAAAAAAATCAAGGCAACTGTAAAAATAAAATTATAGAAATAAATCATCAAAATTATATCAAATTGAGCTTTGTAGAACATGTTTCTTGGGTAATAGTATATGCTATTTGCAAAGAAAATTTGTAAGGAAATTGAATCTTGGAAGAAAACACTGTTGGTTGTATATCACACATACAAAACTAATGTGTACACATGATGAGGGCAGACATTGCTTTCATGTAAGTGTGGTGGTACATAGTCTAAGAAGAAATCTGTGATGCATTAGTGGGTTTTCAGTTCCTAAATATTCCTGGAAAATTGCTTATAGTTTGGCGCTTATGCAGTTTTAACTTGGAAATTTACCTTCTATTTATGGAAATAATTAAGAAGTGTGATTATATTTTCTAATAATTTCAGCTGTCTCTACTGCTTACTTAAAGAAAAAAAATTAATAGTTATTCATTGTTCGTTGTTGTTATTGAGCAGGAAGTTGAGAGAATAGTTTGTTACCTCATTTAATATATTCTATATAAGTACTGCAATATTCATGAATGGTGACTTGCAGATTACTGACTCTGAATATCTTGAAAAGTATTATAAAACTAGCAATATAATTCCATTATAAAAATTACTTATTTCTATTTAACATATTTTTTTTAGAAGAGAGGAAGGGAGAAGGAAAGAAACATCAAGGATAAGAGAATCATTGATCAGCTGCCTCCTGCAAACCCCACTGGGGATCAAGCCCACAACCTGGGCATGAGCCCTGACAGGAATTGAACTGGGGACTTCTTGATTCATGGACCTATTGAGCCATACCGGCAGGGCTTAAAATTTTTTGTTCATTAAAACGATCAACTATGACATGAAAAGCCCCTCCCTTCCCATCTATTGTTATGCTTTTCTACCGCTGTTAGTTTCACTCTAACATATGACATGGAATTGGATATAAGGACATTTTGGGCATGACTGAACATTAACTTTTAATAGTTTTTGAGATTTTTTTTTTGTTCATACCAGTGTGTTAAAAAAAAAGAAAAGAAAAACTTTCCCTAGCTGGTTTGGTTCAGTGGATAGAGTGCCGACTTGCAGACTGAAGGATTCTGGGTTCAATTCAGGTCAAGGGCACATGCCCAGGTTGTGGGATCATTCCCAGTAGGAGGCATGCAGAATGATTCTCTCTCATTATTCATTGATGTTTCTCTCTCTCCCCCTTCCTCTCTGAAATACAAAATATATATATATATATTAGAAAAGGGGAAAAAAATTGTACTTGGGGTTACAAAGTTGGAGAACAACTGTACAAAGTAATGAGCAGTATGCTAAAAAAAATAAATAGGGCTTATTTCTCTGTGCAAATGTTTTTTGTCTGAAGCAGATTTGGCCCCAAAAGAATCAGGCAGGTGCTGTGGCCACAGTGCTTTTGGACTTTCTGGCAGAGCTGGAGACACACTGGGACCCGAGACAAAACCCAGAGGAACCACAGCTAACCTCAGCCCTTTGCCCAATTTCCTCCCTGCCAATTACCAGAGTTCACTATTGTTCAAGCTCCAAGGGTCACACTCTGCCAGTCTATGGGTGGAATTTACTCTTAACAAGTGTTTTGTTTGGCGTGCAGTATTTTTTTTTTAAGGCAGACACTGACATTAAAAATTAGATTCCATATAAAATTCCCTTTGTCTAGTTTTTCTTGAAAACTGAAAATCTGGGAACACAAGCCAGCTTGGCAGTAGCCTTGGAGCCAAGGAAAGGATACCTTTCCACAACCCTCCAGCTCCCGTAGTCTCCACCCAGCTGGCTGCCCCCACACAGGCCACATGCCTGCTCCATTGTTCAACTGAGTTTCTGAATCCTGCTCTCCCAGCAGAGCTGGGAGGCTGGAATGTGAGGGAGGGGGGACAGGCCAGACTCACTCTTCTCTCCCCTCCAACAAGGGTAAATGGCCATTGGCCACAAATGTCTCCTTCAATGGGATTCTGAGCATCCTGGGTGGGAACCAAGTTTATTCAACTTTATCTGGAAAGTGGTCCCTGCTATAGGAATCACATGTTCTGTGAAAGGGGAGGAAATCACATTAAGTGGTATTACCATACTCGTATCTCTAGAATGTTACCTCCAGTGTTTAGACAAGCTTAGTACCATTATGGAAACCCCCCAGAGCCTCCACTCTGCTGCTTTCAAAACAAGGGAGAGGAGAAAGAGCTAGAAAAAAGAAATACAGGATTTGTTAATTTAGGCTCACAAAAATGAGAAGTCGATATTGCGCAGGAGGGTAGATACTAATTTGAAATTTGAAAAACACATATTCTGAAGCAACGAGTTATTTATATATGTTATGACTTTAACTTTTTGTGTTTTTCCTGCCGCCTAAAAACGCTGGGGTGAGTCTTCCCAGATCCTTTCCTATCTGGATGTCTTCTGCCTCTTCTTCTTCCCTTTTTTCAAAATCAGCTTTCAGGAAACCTCCTGATTCATTTCATTTTAAGCAAACAAACGAGGCATGTAATATATTAATTAAAAACTCCTTGAAATGACTTATCAGGATCTTTACATTGTATTCATATGGGTCTATTAAATTGAATCGAAGTTAAACTTCAATAGCTGGAGTTTTTATGTATTGTAACAATCATTGCCCAATACTCAACACTCAATACTTGATACTCAATAAATGTTTTTGAAATAAGCACAAGTTTTATTATTAATCTTCCTAAAAAACAAACCAATATATATATATATTTTTTTACACAAAATCTATCAATAAGAGATTGGTAATAGGAAAAAGCAAAGCAAAACAAAACAAGCTGAGAGAATCCAGGCTTTTTCAATCTTAGTCATATTTCTTAAGTGTTGATTTGATTTCACCATCTCAAATCATCAGAGCCTGTCTATATATTATAATGGTGTGTATTTCCTATTGCTACATAGATGAAAAGGAATCCACATAAACCACACCAACACCATTATGTATAACTGGTGGTAAAACTTTATTATTCAAGTTTAGATGTAACAGACATCTTTGCTGCCTGAAGATTGTTTGCATAAGAAATACACCAAGAACATGTTTGTGAGTAGAAATGAACATGCACTATGAAAACAAAATTAAATAAAACAAAAAAAAAATTCCATGTGTTGTAAGAACAGAACTATTATAGCCAACATTCTAATATTCAAATCAGGACTACAAATTGAATTTTTTCTTAGCAACATGAAATCATTCCATAAGAAAGACATTTTCTGCTGGTGAATATTGCTGTAAGTTAATTTTACATTGGCATTTTGAGATGTTTCCCATCCCATTCCCCCTCCCCCCAAGTTATCCATGTTGTCAAATTGTCCACCTGAAGGAATTTGGCATTTCTTATTGTGATATCTGCCTTGGTAGCCATTAAAAAAAACAACTATCATTTTATCAGCCTTGTAATAGTTTTGCCTCTTCATAGCCAACACTATAGGCTGTCTAGTTATGGTATTTACAGCTCATCCCTAACACAAATGATCCCAACCTTTCCTGGCCCTTGGGAACTGAGAGTTTAAATAAGCCCCTTGGCCATATAATAATACTTGGCACTCCCATGGTGCCTTTCAACCAAGGATCTCAAAGTGCTTTACAAACAAGTACTACATTACCATTATTATTATTATTATTAATATTATTATTAATATATATATTTTTTCCATTTTACAGGTGAGGAACCTGAGGCACAAAAAGAAAAAGTGATTTGCTGCAGGTCATATAATGAAGAGAAAACCAGGGGTGAAATCAGAATACAGTTTTGGGACTTGAAGGACCGTCTTCCTCTGGTGAGTAACATTTCCATGTAAAGCTACTGTTGCTCTTCTCTGGTGCAGGGCGGAGTGAAGCTTACAGCTCTACCTCTCAAGAGAACAACACACGAGCATACATTATCCAGTTTCTGTGTGTGGATCAATGTTGAATTTCACATTTTCTTCATCCCTGACTTGACACGCTTCTGCCCTAGTATCTTCTGGAGGTCCTAATTACTGCAAATAACCATGGACACTTTCTAAACAATTGCACCGCTATCAGGAACACGTGAGTCCACTGTCTAGGACACAGGAATTGGAAAGCCAAAAGGAAGTGCTCTTCAGAGAAGCCATGCCTTCTGCCCTTGGCCAAGTCTTTCTTTGGGACAAGAACCCAGCCCTTCAAGGTCTTGGTGCATGCCTTTCTATTCTCCTCTCCATGCACAGCTGCCTGCTGATAGAATTCCACCTACTCGTACCTACCTTTGGTTAGCATATTTAGTTTCATATTCGGTTTGAATTTCAGTCCCTCCGCTCTCTCCTGTGATCTCGGAGGGCAAGTTTTTACCTACTCGTTCACCAAAGATGTCTTGCGTTTTTTCTGCCATGGTCCTCGACCTAAAGACAGGAAGTTGTGAGTTCGGGTAAACTTCAGGCAGAAGGCTGGCATGCAGCCCAGAAGCTGAAGACCGGCTTCTGGGCTCCATGCTTCCTCCACCGATGGATGGCAGACATTCCCCCTCCAGAGCTGGGTTAATGTTCACTAACTAGACAGGCACAGGCAGTCCAGAGGTCTCAAGACACGTCACCTGGTGAAGGTTACAGCCACACAGCAAGGAGGCTGAGAATGATTTTAATAGCAGTATCGATACTCTTCAATTTATTAAGAAAAACGTCTATCCTCAGGCATTTAAAAAATATATATATACATTTGCTATTTTGGGAGCTGTATTTGCATTGGATCGTAATAGATTATGTGCACATGTGCAACCATAATGTGCTACCACAGGCTTCAACAAAAGAGCTGTTAATGATAATCACTTTTTTCTTCTTCTTCTCATTAATAGTATCTTAGAAAAGAATCACCATGCTTGTTTTCTAAAATTCTACCATTTACTAAAAAAGAACAGTTTAGAACAAAACATCGCTATCTTCAAAGTTTAATTTTTTTTTTAAAAAGAACATCTCAATATGTCACGTGGAAAGAAGAGATAACGTGTGAATGTTTAGAGCTCCATCCTTTTCTCATCCCTTAGTCATGTAGTGTCTCGCAATCCACAACCTTGTGAGGTGGGCTGGCTCTTTATGATTTTCCAATCCCCAACAACAACATGATTATAGGGGTGAGGGGCGAAGGGGGAAAGAATGAGAAAAGGGAGAATGAGAATGCATGAGCTGGTCCTGGCTTAAAGTCTAATATAGACAAGGGGTTTTTAAAGACGTACGGTGTTTAAATGACTTACAATTTTAGCTGGCATATAGTTTGCATCAGAGTTTGGGAAGCCTTTTCTAAAAGGGGAAAAATTTTAAATCACCTTGGAAGTCCTCAAAAGAAATTAAGTACCTAAAAAGCTCATTTAAAAGTCACAACTTAGGACAAAATGACATCTGAAAACTAAATGAAGTAAGAATAACAACCAATCATTTTTGTCATCTGTTTTGAAAGATGGAAGGTTGTCATAAATCCAAAAATAAGTGGTATTTTAGTGTCATGATGGATTTTCATCTTTTTAGAAAAGCTCAACCTCCTCTCCCTTAAAATATGTAACACAACAAAAACAAAAATGAAAAAAAATCAAGAATAAAGAAATAAGAACTAGCATGTCAAGGCTATCCAAGAATATTCTACCAAAAGTGGATTGACCATAAATAGTCCAAGAATAGTGATATGTATTTTCCAATGCTAAACATTACTACCAACCTGTCTGAGGAAACAGAAAATCACATGAAAATAAAAAGGCATACATGCTCAAAGTGAACAACTTATTTGTGTATGACACTGAAGAAACTGCTGATGGAGTCGCTTTACCCCAGCAGTCACACCTGGGTAATTGCCCAACTTAACCAAACTCCTGGTGTTTTGCCGATGTGAGCAGTCCACATATAATGTTGCTTGAGGTTTGCCAGAATGCACTCGGTTACCAGTCTTTTCATTCAGAAAGCTAAATGCGGTGTTATTGTTTGGGAAATCTCTTTGTTGGGTCTTCGCTTGACACCTCTCAAGTCTGCCTGCACATCTGAGATGCATTCATTCAATTCCCAAGGAAGAGAAATTGCATCATTTGGATGCCAGCGCTCCTCATGCACCCCTTTATTTCAGTTTATGTGAATATCAGAGCTACGCAATAGGTGAGATCAGAATAGAGCCCTTTAAAAATGAAACTGAAGCAGAAGGCTTAGTCCTGATTTCTTTCTTTCTTTCTTTCTGTGTCTCTCTCTTTTGACATGAAAATGAAAATGCAAGAATGGAAACGACAACACAACATCAGAAAGACATGTTTAACTTCATTCACTACAACAGCCACGAACTGGTTGAACTCAACCTGCCACCCAACTCTAAAAACCGAAGACCTGGCACTGAGGAAAAAGAAACAAAACCCAAAACAAAACAGAACAAAAAAACAATACAAAGCAACTGCGAATTAATGTAAAAAAAACAAAAACAAAAACAGAGTGCAAATGCAACTACAAGAATGCAATAAAAACATCAGTGCTGCAGGTTCCAGCAGCGCTCATCAAAATAACTTCTGAAATGTTTCATCTGAAACATAGACAAAGCAATAAAAAGAGGATATATGTTTATCGTTTTAAGCATAACAATGTGAGTTAAGAGCTTAAAAATTAAAAAAAAAATACTTGGAATGAATAGTGCTACCCTTTTTTCCCCCCTAAGTAGGCATAAAAATATTTTCATTTCCTTCTTGTTTTCCATACCATTATATCAAGAACTTTCATTTGTTTCATGTTACCGTTTACAATTTTAATGCGCACGCACATACACACACGCACACGCACACACACGCACAAAAAGATATCTACCGCAATAGAAATAGTTGCTTCATTACCTTGTTTGCTACATTTGCAAATGTAAACAGCTAGGCAGAGCCAGAACTGACTCTAATGCATGATGGAATATCTTTGTTGCATACGTACACTGTAGAAAATAATTATTCAATATGTCAGGCACCATTATTGAAATGTAATACATTAATATTTACTAGAAAAATAAGTTTTTTTTTTCCTATTTGTTCTCCCAACTTCTTTAATGAAATAAGTTAATCCGACAGTGCATCCAGTAGCTTGTAATATCTTCTACATCTCTGTGGCAAAAAATAAACTACTGGTTGGGACAATATAATGCAAATCACTAAAGTCAGTCCTTGTACATACATCCTTGTAGCAAGCATTGAGGCTCGACTAACAGCACCTTTAACCAATTATTTAATGTTCAGTTATTTAGCCCTATTTCCCTGAGCAGTTATGCTGAGGAGCTTTCCCTTTATGGATAGTTTTACAAAGCCTTAAGTATTAAGAGAAATCTGAAGACATACTTCTAAGAATCCTATTTAATGCTACTTAACTAAACCTGCATACATCTAATGGAGGAATTGATTGGTACACACACCGTCAGTCTGCGGTAACGTAACCTTAGACGCTGCCTGACCACAACGTTTGGAGAATTCTATTTAACCAAGAGAAAAATAAATAAATACAGCAGGTTACCTCGTGGAGAAATACCATGTGTTCTAAACGAATTAAGCCCATGGTCTGAACTTTTTGTACCCATCTAGCCTTTTGAAGTGAGGGGATCCCTTTCATTATCATGCGTCAAGTGATATTAGTGACCGAGAAGAGGCTTCAAAAACAAATCCACGCTGGTTCATCGCACAGAAGAAAGAAGTATCTCTGGCTACAATAAAATTACTACATAAGCACTGAGGACATTAATTTTAAAAATGCACATATATATATTTGGACAAAATGAACCTAAACGGCAAACAAAAAGGACTACTTTCAAAAGGAGTACTCGAACATCTAAAGGACAAAAATATCAGAGGGTGTGCATGTGTATGTACAGGCAGGGCTGGCCAAAACCATTGTGCCACCGGCTGTCACGTTCTTGCTGACTTCTCACCAGGCCTCACCACAGCTCACATCTCTTGGTCTAGTTCTAAAACATGGTCAAGGAGAGGAGGCCAATCGAAGAGGGCGCCATTTTCCTTTCACAGGCCCAGAGATTAGATTTCTCCTCCCCTGCCTAGGATTTCATGATAACTTCTAAATTTAGGCAACATTTTATGGGTTTTTGAATACATGGGCTCATGGCCAGCCCAGCACTGCTTTAGGCTCATGATATGTAAACCCTTTTGAGTTCTAGACAGCTTTGACCTCTTTCTTTACAAATCTAATAATGATAGTCTGGTGGTGCTTCTTATGGATCATTGCCACAGTACACATTCACCAAGATGATTTTGACCTACTAGGTTCTAGAACGTGGCTATTGACCATCTTCCTTTATTTTTCTCACTGACCATTAGTCTCACTTTTTTAAAATCTTGGTAACCTACTCATCAAAAGAAAGAATCGTAAGAGAAGGGAATTTCATATTGGATAAGGCAGGCTCTATGAAGTATTTTTTTTTTTTAATAGGTCTTCATAAGACATTACAAGCTATTGAATTCCCATCAAGAAAACCTATTTCTAGTGAATTGTGCTAAGTGCTAAGGTTTTGTTGTTTTTTTTACTCTTTAGGTTTTCCGTTTTTTTCTGCTTGTGCATTGTTCCTATGCAGGCCTCTCTGGATATGAGTCGTGAAGTCATATTTGTCCGTGCAAAGATGCTGGCATATGCTGCACTGGAAAGGTCCACTGTCCCCATGGCAACTCATATGCAAAGCGTACATCACGTCATCCAGAAAGACAATGCCGCAGTGCGCACATTTCGTGGAAAGTTCATCTTGAGTACTTCTGTCGACTTTCTCCGTTTTCACTACATTCAAGGGACCTTCATTTTTTACACTGGAGGGTGCCTTCGTTTTCTCCTTGGCGGAGGCACCGTTTGCAGTTGGCCCAGGTCTGGAATGCTTGATCGCCAAATCTAGAGGAATGTCATTGTCTGATCCAACAGCTGAAAAATGAGGAGGCAGGTTGAAGGTGGGATAAGGCACATAGTTTTGGCAAGGATTTGGTAGGCCAGGCACGTGACTCAAGTAGTGCGGATTCCCAGGAACCGAGAGCTTATATTTACTCCAGAACCGCAGCCAATCAGCTTCACTCTGGAAGTCATTGTGGACAAAGGGGAGTCCAAAGAGGGGGTACTGGTACTTCTCGATAGGGCTGCCTGGGGGCGAGTAGTTTGGGTGTTTGGCGGGCCTCATGTACTTTTCGATGGGGCTGCCTCTCTCAGAACTTCCTTTGCCTTCGGACACAGAGGAACTGTTTCCTGGGTCTCCAGTACTTTCCTGAGGACTTTTGATCTGAATGTGCAAAGGTTGCATCCTTTTGTGGATATCCAGAGATGGGCTGACCAGGACTGGCTGCTGAGCAGAATGGCTTTTAGTCAATGAGCTCTGGGCTTCGTATTTGCTCAGGCTCGGGAGCGGAATCTCTCTCGGGTGGCTTTCCGTTAAGTGATCTTCCGACCTCCTCTCTAAGGGGCTGCCGTTGACTTGCTCCTCGCCGCCCCCCCTCTGCTGTTTGTTGAGCTGCTCAGCCTGCAGGGCCTCCGGGTTAAGGCGCTTTCTCGTTCTCCTCCTAATAATCTGCTCACCGTTGTTTTGCTTAATGATGTTTAAAGGCCTGGGAGTCTGCGGAGAAGGAGCACACAATACATAAAAGGAAAACATAAAAAAAAAAATACCCCACACATTAAAATGCATTAACAATTCCTCACAAATAGAAACCATGCTTCAGTTCAAAGCAAGGACAGGCTTTATGTTATAGATTTACTAAATCTCCTCCTTTTGCCCTAAGCAGGACCACAGGAAGAAACCAAAGTGCCTTTTTATTTTTTTATTTTTTTAAGCCTAATTAAATCATGCCCATCTTTGCAGGGAGGAATGAAAACTTTCATCTACTTAAAAACAGCTTTCCAAACTCGATGGATTTTGGAATTGCATCATTGAGTGATAAAAGCATGTAGAAAGGGACTTGAAGAAATGTGATTTTTCCAGAAGTGTTTCTCAACTTTTGAGTCATGCACTAAGATGTCAACATCGCAACATGGGCGATGGGCTTTGATAAAAATTGTGGGAAAATGATGCATCGCCACAGTCTGAACTGTGTCCTCCTCCAACTCGAACCTGTTGAATCTCGAACCACTATCTGGGAAGTGTATGGTCTTCAGGAGTTAAATACAGTTCAATGAGGACACAGTTAGAAAGTGGTTTTCTGCAAGCCAGGAGAGGCACTCTCACCACCACCCCCATGCAGTGCTTGGGTCTGACTCCCAACCTCCAGAACTGTGGGGAAATATATTTGTTGCTTAAATCACCCCATCTGTGGTGTTTTGTTATGGCAGCCAGAGCTGACTAATACATGCATTCTTCTTAATAACTGCAAATGTGAATATAAAATATTAAGTATCAGAACACACAAAAAATCAAACTGACAGAATCATGAGGAAGGGTGCTGGGTAATTAGAGCCATAGCAGTGGGAGCGCTTTCCTTTTTTAACCTCTCACTTGTATTTCTATTCCTTTCGTAATTTTATATTCAGTAGGGAAGATAGTACTTATTGACAGGTGAAGCATTCGTTTTACGTTGAAAATCTAAATTCATTCATAGCCTTGGTTCAAATATCCAATCTCTCAATCTAACTCCACTACCCTGTACTTAAATCGAATGCTGAATTTTATGAAGCTTGAGTATTTTATTTGGCTGCAGTATTACATGATTGGTATTTAAGGATTTTTTCAACAGATATTTATATTTATGAAATCCACAGATAAGACTATAACAACTTGTAGTAGGCGCTCTAACTTTGATTAATAAAAATCAAAAGAATAAATTTAATAAATTAATGCATATTTACAGATTAAAAATTGAGATGAACCTTTAATAGGCTAAAATCTGATTTTTCTAAAGGCTTACTAAAATCAGGAACTAATTTCCACATAATATACAAATCTTATATATTTGTGAATTATTCCTAGAAAAGATGAATCTTAATGCAAGAGAGGACCTTTTATATTTGTTTTGTTTAATGTATAAATCCTTTACAGAATATTTCTGGTGTTGTGAAGGTATTTTGAAGGGAAGAAAGATAGCATATTTGTTACTGACAATTCAATTACTGGTTTCAGAATGAATATGACACATCCCTTAGATAAGACATGTTCATTTATTTTGTTCAGAATTTCATATTTGTGTTATGAAAATATGCAGCATTTAATCTTTTATAAAGAATCCTGAAATTTGCATTGATATTTTTAAACTTTCATTAAACGTGAGCATCACCTTTATGTATTTAAATTCATGATTTTAAAAAACTCAAAAACATCTCATCTCTGGACAGATGAATATTAAAATAACTATAAAAAGAAGAATTTATATCACAGTTCTTAAATTATCATAAGCTGGAAGGCAGTAGCTTAATTAATTCCTGGCCTATGATTGGCCAGAGTTCAATGAAAATCATTAATGTCAGGACTCATTAAATGGAAGCTTAAGTGATGAAGGTTAAAAGAAAAGTATGGCAGCGTGGTGGTGGTGGGAAAAACTTTCTCTTAGCTTAAGGTTTTCACTTACAGTTCACCACTAATTAGTATTGTTAGCAGCATCTATTTCTTAAAGAGCGCTTCCAGTGGTCCATTTGGGAGGACGTGTTGTCTAAAACTGTATTCCCTGACGCTGTAACCTATTCACTGGCTGTGCTGAGAGCCACGGTAAAATGCCAAACATACAGACATAGACTTCTGTTTATTAAATAGAGAATTCAGATTTTTAAAGGCAGCTCTTGTCAGCAGATAAACTTTGTAAACAAAACTAAAAAAATCCTACAGGAAGTCAAATGCATATATACAGATGGGAGAATTTGTAAGTTTCAATTTTTGTTATAGGGTTCTAACTAAAATTTGAGAAGAAATTACTGGAAGTACACCAGTAAGCCACAGAAGGAAGCCAGTTAGAGATCTGAAAACACAAAGCACCATTTGCACCCGACTGACTGATGTGCGCTCTTTGGGCCCACAGATACGGCATCTACATATGCATTCCCTGGACTGCAGAGGTTCACCTGGCATCTCCGGGTTCTAGTTCAGAGCCCCTCTTCTCCATGTGCCCCACCTCCAGCCCCAACACAGCCAAGATGACTCTTCCAAATTCCAAAGGTAAGCTGGGAAATGAACATTCTTTCCCTGCACTCTCTTTTGGGCTGGCCACTGGAGAGTCCTCTTTAAAAAAGTCACTTGTCATGTATTTCTGAACTTTTAAGAAGGTTTGTCTTTCTACGTAAATGAAGTTCACCAAAGTATAATAACCATTAGTTCGAGTATCGGTTAGGTGAAATTCCAAGAAATCAATCCTTTTCCTTTTTTTTTTTTTTAATATCAAAAGAAGTATAAGGTATTAGTAACATCTTAAAAGTATCTCCCCATAACATCTAAGGCCATTTCACCATACCTCACAAGGGGCTGTATTAAACTGGGAGGGGGGGGTGCGGGCTGGGAGGCACTGCCAGCCAGGGAATGGTCCTCATCACACCACAGCCCAGGCTGCTTTCTGAAGCTTTTCCCGACAGTCTACCCAGTCCTTACCGAGTGAAGCTTCTGGTAGAGGCCACACGCGTTGCATACGTATCCGCCATTGGCATTCTTTCGCCAGAGAGAGGTCTTTGTGGTCAAGCAATTGGCACAGAAAACACCCGAGCCTCTACGCCTCTGAAACAGGGAGGGAGAAAAAAAAACACAAAAAACACACAAGGTCAGAGGTGAGTCACATGATCACTGGAGTTAGACCAAATCAACCCCGGAGTATTGTCTCCAGACTGGCAACCATGACAGTCTTAAAACCACGCGGCCCGTAATGAGGTCAGGTTCAATTGTGTTTAACGGGCACCCCCCGATTCTCATTATAATTAACCCCGCAATGATGGATGAGGTGTGGGCGACACCAAAGGCTTTCCGCAGAAACAGCTTTAACTTTTTGAACCTTGGGTTCTGTGCCATTAATGATGGCTCCTGGAGGCTGACCCTGAAAAGACACCTTTGGAAAGAAGTGTCAAAACTAAAGAGTCGAAAGACAGAATGTGGCAAGATGTTGAACCTGTGCTTTCAAATCTGGTCAAGCTTGGAACAAAGGCGCCAGGTAAACCATTTAAAAGTATATCTTTTTCTAACGCCGTTTGTGCAAACATGAGTTTGAGAAAACGTAAAACATTCATGTCAGGTCTCCGGTGTGTTAAGCGTCAAGTCTGAAAGAGAACACCCTCTTACTTCCCAAAGCTGAGAGAGCCGGCAGGAACGTCAGGCAGCTAGAAGTACAGTATTGCACTCCTGAGAACCCTGGTTGGGTACCTGCGTGAGCCAGACAACACAGTCCCATCAGTGGCTCTAGAATTCTTTTTATGTCACCCAGACTCGGAAATCACGAGCATTTCCGAACGCAAATTGATGTTAGTGGGCTGAAGTCTGTAATCACCAGATTCAAAAATAATCTAAGGCTACTTAAAAGTGGGTAATTAGTATTGATTGTTCCATTCTTGCTATCAAGCAATGATTCCATTAAGCATCCCACTGAAACAAAAGTCAGGCTGTGTTTGTAGGCGCAAATACTAACAGGCAGGAAATGGAATTCTTTTGCTGAAAAGAAAAAAAGAAAAAAGAAAAAAAAAAAAAAAGGACAGCCTGCCTTGCAGCTCGGCCCTCCTGTCTCTAGGAAGCAAAGCCCTTAATGATAAAATATGCACGGTAGATAAGGAGTGGAAAAAAAGTCTCCCTGCAACCCCAATTTTCTTATACATTTGAAATGAAGAGCAGTGGAAGTCAAAATTTCAGGGATTCATAAAAATGTAGGCCATTTATTTAACTGGAGTCCATACTGTAGATGGGTGGTGTCTTTGCCAAGAAAATACAATGGTTATAATTGTACTCTGATACATTTCAAATGGAAAGCTTTCTGCAGACATAATTTTGGCTTCGAGACTGGAACACTTTCTTGGCATTGAAAGGGCATTTGATTCATCGGGTGTTTCACAATGTATCACTAAAAAGACCTGGTGAGCAGCCAGTTCCCTATAGGGTAATTTTTCCATCCAGATGCAAGTGCTATCAGAGGCCCTCGTCAGCTAAACTAATTATGATCTTGCAATTGCTGATGCCTGCTCACTCTACCATTCGACATCCTCCATTAATCATCAATACAAGGAAAATGAATGAAACGTAAAGAAAGGAGGGCCGGTGAGCTGTGCAGCTATAAAAATCTGAAATGAGAGCAATAATTTAACAAGATTGGGGAATGTTTTTAAGTGCGCACCAAGCCAGGCTAACAATTGCCCTTTTCAAACCAAGAACACGATTTCATTAGTGTAGCAGTTTGTGCTACTTCGGATGATGTCATAAAAGCTAGATTTTTCACCAAGATAACCTCTGCCTCCCCTTCCCCTCTCCCTCCCAGGAGTGGGGACCAGGAATGCATTGCAAGTTTCTAAATCTCAGTAGGAGCCACAGCAAACACTAGGTGTCAGGCCACTAGCCCCAGTAGCGACTTTCTGTAAAAGCAGAGAATGCTGCTTCCTGGGAAAAAAAAAAAATCAATGGACTATTAGAGGTTGTATTTATTAAACACTCTGGGGCCCCCTTTATCTGAAGTAACTTTGGGAGCCTCGTTAGGTTATAATTGTGAAATTTCCCTGGGGCCATGCCGGTTTTTTTTCATTTTCCCTAGATCTAAATACTAACATGTTTGGCAAATAAACACCAAGTTGATTCACATAAAGGCGAAGTAAATGTCCATTTGGAGACCAACCCACATCGATGGCAGAGGCTCAAATGTGAATGTGTAACCAGCCATTCACTCCAGCCTGCTTTTCTCTCCTTCTGCCCTGGGTGCTTGACACAGCTTGCCAAAGTGGGTGTAATCCTGGTTCTAGAGAGTGTTTCAGTCCTTGCCCAATTTTGTGCTTAATTCTCTTGCAGAGAAAAATGCCCTTCATTTGTTACAGAGAAAATCCTGAAATTATAGCTCTGGTTTCCACAGGCATAGGTTGCTGCAAGCAGCACTTAGGCTCCAATAAAGGCTGGTATGTTTTAGGTAAACCGTATATCTTAATGTAAATACTCCAGGGGAACGATGGATTTCATTTGCTCAGTGTGGCCGGGAGGTTGATCATCAGATTTAGGGAGTCAGACTACTTGTAGTAAAGGCATGCTTCTGCATTCTGCTGGGTGAACTTTGGGCAAGTTACTTAATCTCTCAATGCTTAAGTCTCCCCACCTCCTTTTAAAGTATGAACTGCTGAGAATATTGAATATTAACGTGGGCTAATGGATGCAATTAAAGCAGTGCCAGGGACGTAGTAAATGCGCAGCAAGTTAGCTATTTCTCAGGAGCATTCAACTGTATTTCTTTTGTGAGAAAAAAAACAACAACATATTTTGTTAGATTCATGAGATAAAGCCAAACTACTTATTAGACATTTTATATATATGCCTACTGCCTAGAGTTGGATATTATCAAGTGTATTTCATTTGTGTCAATCTTATCAAGTCTGAGAATGGAAAGTTGAGTCAGAGTGAGATATCTAGGTGTTCACACCTAGGATGCGAGAGCAGTGTGCTTGTGTGGGGGTAGCGAGTGGGAGGGAGGTGAGAAATGTTTCACCCATTAAGTTGCTGCCCATCGAAAGAAATGCATCACCTTGGTAGGCACGGCAAGCAGCAGAGAAGCGGGGAGAAGTGATGAATGCCCTCCGCTGTGACCACAGGGTCACAGAACAGTGCCACACCTCTCCGAACGGCAGCAGAGATGAGAGCCCTGACTAGGTCGCACGGTGCATAGTATAAGCTGGCTCACACAGGAAGGCAGTTCTTTCGAAGTTACCAACATCCTTAGCCCAGTTGAGGGCAGAGAAGCAGTCAGTTGGCAAAGGAAGGCAGAACAGAAGTTTCCCTGCCCTGCTAAAAACCAAGCCTGACCTTGTTACAGCACGAAGACCTTATTTCATTCATAGACTATCATGCGAGACAGAGCTTTAAAATACTTCTCATTCTCCTATGTTCGTAAAGGACAGAAATCATGTCTCCCAACAGTCATCAAATACTCTAAACCGTTAGTACCTAGGACAGTGCTCTGTCTCATGCAGTTAAACACCGAGGAAGTGGGAGATAATCTCTCCAGGTGCTATGTCTATCATTACTAGATACTCCTGTTTTGTAGGGGGAGAAGGGGGTTTGAAAAAGGTAATATCCCCTTTAAATGGATCCCCTTCGTATGGCTTAAGAAATATGACTAAGATTGAAAAAGCCTGGATTCTCTCAACTTGTTTTGTTTTGCTTTGCTTTTTCCTATTGCCAACCAATCTCTTATTGATAGATTTTGTGTAAAAAATATATATACTATGGCAGAGATGGCTAATGATGTAGAAAAAAAAAATGAGGATCGCTTTTCCAATCCTACATCCCATACTTATTTTTGAGAAACAGGTGAAGCGGGTACTCTCTGGGTCCCGAGGACACCAGGTCAGGTACAAAAAGCTCCAACTCTCCTTTGTAAACACACTGCTGACGGCTCTATAGGCGCACGTTTAAATACTACCACACGTGCTTGCCCTTTTCCTACAAGCTGGTCACTAATAGTCTGTAAAGCCATGACCTTGTGGCGGAGGGCGGTGAATCACATCGTATGGATAGAAACACTTTGGGAGAGGACATGACAGGAGTCGGTAGCTGAGGCGCAGCAGAGGGAACGTGCCCTTGTCCAGATCCAAAGCAACACAAGACTCCCAGCGTCCTCTGCCTCTGGCCTTCTCTAAGGTACCAGGTGGGGTCCATTAGGGTGAGGGAAGGTCGGCTGAAAACCCAAATCTATATGCAAGTCCTCTCCACGGAAGACTTCTACATAGGAAAATTCCAGAATCAACAGTTGGAGAGACTTTTTTAATTTAAAGTTTTAATAGTGTGTCTACTACCTGTTAGGTCAGGTTTTTGTTGCCCCCATATTATTTCTGTTGGCTGGTGAATTTCCCGAGTGGAAAGGAAGGACGGTGGTAGGAGCAGTCAATTGGAAGGGATTTGGAAGCCAGTCCAGGGTTTGGCCTAGCAAGTGCTTTTCAGGGATCACTACTGAGAATTCTTCGGATCTACTGGTTTCCCTTCTACATTTCAAATGTTATCAGGACCGCAATGCTGATTTTTACAACAGCAATAGGTGATGAATTTGGACAATCACCCATGCCAGGATTTGAAATAGAGAATGATGGACACAGCCATCTTTTATTATAAAAACACTTAAAATCCAACAACTTAGTTCTCTGCTGTGGAGTGCACCATGAAGTATAAGGACTAAATAACTATCTTAAAAAATTTAGTCGTTAGGTGCACAGCTACCCACGGTAAGGTATCACTATTGTTAGTGTGTTTTCTTTCTTTTTTTTTTTTTTCCTCAAAGCTTCTGACTCAAGTTTTCTATTCAAGATCTCAAATTACTCATTTATGTGTCACTCTGGATTGAACCTTGGCACATGTGCTGGTAAAGCCAGGCATGACTTCAGAAAAAAAAAAAGTAAAAAAAAATATTAAAAATTAGGTTCCGCTGTTTTTATTGCCTATTTTGCTATTTGAAGATCAGTCAGAAACAAACATTTTAAGGTTTTCAAATTTCATTAAACAAAAAACTGATTTATTTTATGAATAAACAGTGAATTTGATTTATTCATTCAAGT